TAATCCGGGGATATGTGTCTGATAACACTTCACGTCACTGTCGCCCGAAGACGCGAACTGACCTGCACGACGACGATGGCACTGTGTCGGATCTATCGATTTATCGAGACGGTGGTGTGGTGTCGCGGGGCCTGGTCCTGGTCCCGCCGGTGAGTCTCTGTCTCTTCGTCCCGGGTCTGGTCCTCGTCCTCGCCGCTGCTGCCGTCCAACTCGATCGGCGGCAGCGCTGTAACCTGTCGTTGTAATCCGCGCGAGCGAGCGATCGGGCAATCGACCGACGGTGTGCGGCGCGGTGTGCGCGGTATAAACAAAATATGGCGGTGGTAACAAGTAAAAGGGGAGTTACCCCGGAGGGGGACGCGGGGCGTCAGTGGCCTCGGTACCGTTTCCCGGAATCCGAGCCGATTTTCGGGGTAAGTGACGACCACCGGGACGACGACCAATCACAGCGCGTGCCACCGATTCATTTGGTTTTTATCCTCGTGTTACTCTCACTCCTGAGGAACGTTCCTCACCGCCCCGACATCATCGGCATCGCGCTCCCTACCGATGTATCATACATTATGTGTATGTACAATACATACACGCTTAACGGAGACCTTTGTCGATGAGAGAACGTTGGCAAAAAATTGTTTTCCTGGACACATGTCGAAGAGCGGCGTGTATTAAATACGTCCGACGCGTCGAATTCATTTTCGTGACGGTTTCGCGCTTACGACGATTGGAGAACCAGGGACGACATTGAAACGTATGCAGACGGAATTTTGCAGGGGCCCATCGACTCCACCCGGAAGTGGAGAAAAATGCGAGAAAAAATTTCTTCTTATTAACATACAATATAATTACGTAAATTTTATATTTCCGTAATAGTAAAATATATACAGTTTGATATAAAATAAGTTCTTTTAGGGTTGTTTCACTTTTTTCAAATTTCACACGTTAAGTAAGGCTGATATAATCCGCGCATGTGATTGGGTAATCTTGCTACTTATCTAACGTAAAATTTAGAAGGATGGAACAACTGGCCCTTAGTAAAAATTCCTTGATTAAGAGAATTTATGTAAGTAAAAGATGAAAATAAAGTTTGTTTTTCTTTGATGGAAATGTGGGATTTACATTGCACGAGATATCTCTGTTTTCTAATCCTGAAGATAAAACTTTGTTCGTGACAATATCCTCGCACAATACGATCACACGGTGCGTAAATCTGAGATTTAAAATTCCGCAACTGTAAGCCGAAGCGTTAACGTAATTCCTTCATAGTACCTAATAACAGAGAAATAATATTAAATTTCCTCAACACGAGAGATTAAACGAAATTTTCACTTTCTCGTCTCTTTTGCGCGACATAATTTCAAGCTCAATTAAGTCAACAATAAGAAATACAAGTACTGGCCATAACGGTCAAAGCTAGATCTTTAATGCTTAAATAATTCAATCTGAATTACTATATATACTATATATATACATGCATATTTACCATATTTGTAGTCATTCGAACTGCGCGCTGAATTGGACTTATAAACGCAATTAAACTACTTTAGTAATATCACTAATTAAATTGACAAGCAAGTTTAATAATTTGATGCTCAATCAGGGTATCAATCATGAAACTTTTTCCCTAGAATGAAAAGTGAAAAGAGAGAGTGAAAATTTTTATCATTGAAGTTAATGGAGAAATTTTTCACTTTTCATCCTATACAGTTGGAAAAATGTATTGAATTTAACATAAATCGCATGTCCCAAACGATCCACTCAAATTTTTGAGTTAATTTTATACAAGATGAATATGTTAGAAGGTAACATATTATGTAAGAGAATAAATACAAAGAAAGATAACATCGACATAGTTTGTAAACAAATCGTGGAACGATATTTTTTTCAGAAAATTAACATTTATGATATGTTAAATTAACATATATTTATTCTATTATTTTTATGTTACTTGTTCACTTACTCATAAATTGTGTCATTTTGACACCAAGAAACATTGAATATCAATTTCACAAAAAAAACCATAATTACATTATGTTAAATTAACACTCGAATATATTAAAAAATTCAACACAAACGTGAGTGGA